ATGAACCCCGTTTGAGACCCGTCGAACCGGTAGGATATTTGACAGAATTATGAACAAAAACCCCTTTACTTTTTATGCATTTTTTGCATCTATGTAATGCGGAAAACGCATATTGACGGGAGGTTGTCTGTGTGTGTCCGTACCGATTTTTATGCGTTTTTTGCATGTATGCAGTGCAGAAAAAGCATATTAACGAGGGGTTGTCTGTGTGTGTGTGTCTGTGTGTGCGCGCGTCTATCACGATTTTTCATCTCAAGATCTAAAAAAGTTACAGGGCTGAAACTTCGGGAACTTAATCTACATGCACGTGCTAGCCCCGATCCCCGAAATAGGCGCTCTTACCCTAGCGATACCCACGTGCGGGCCGGTGAAAGTTTTTTTCGTGTAAGCCTCTAACTCGGAAACCTGAGAAGCTAGAGGAATTTTAAAGAGGCGTTCCTCATGCAAGTGGATATTAATGAGCTCAAGCCCAGACACCGAGTATGCGTGATACCCATGTAAGGCCCGTGAAAGTTTTTTCGGATAGGTTGCTAACTCGGAAACCAGGAAAATTAGAAAGCTGAAATTTTAAGGTGGTGTTTCCTGACAGTTCTAGCGGCCAGTCTTAATTTGTTTAGCCAGAAGCATTTGCCGAAAAACTGGTGGCGATAGCGACAAAAACTGCGGGGAACTGTGCAAAAAAAAAACGCATCTTCGCACGGGCAGCCGGTGCGTTGGCCCGTTATTACTCCATGTGATGCTTGCATGTTTTAATGCATTTGAGGCAAAATGATGCGTGGTGTGTCTTTTCGTGACCACATAAACAATCAGACTCTTCGTCAGTTGTACGGCATACAGGCTCCGGTGGAGGTAATGATACCTAAGAAATAAGGGTAGCACTCGACCAGTAGCTAATTATTTGCCATTGTTAGAAGGTGGTAAATTGGGATATGTCCGGTTGAATTATTGCATTTTTAGTCACCATCATCCAGCGTGACACCAGAAGCTCGCAGACATGCGGAGCAGTTTTTCGTTCTCCTGCACGAGACGCAAATGTCGCCGGAATATTGCCGCTTGGTAATCGGTATGTTTCCTGAAAGTTTTCTGTTTTTTATCAATATTGTGAATGTAGAAATTTTTTATAAAAATTTTGTAAAAAAATTTTTTTTTGTAAAAGTTTTCATTATTTCGAGCAGCGCTTTCTTCTCGCCTTTGATGCATCTGGCAATTTCTCCATTCTTCTCCCGCTTCCGGTTGTGCAGCCGATTTTGCGAATTTTGATAATATCAAGTTATTTTGACGTTTTTGCTTGTTTTAGAGTCAACAACCAATGAATTTGTGGTCTTCGAAATGGTTCAAAATTTTGTTTCAAACATCTTCCGACAATGGGTCCTGCTCGAAGCTCCTCTTGTTCGACAGTGTTTTGAATATTTCTTTTCTGGAGCTGTACGCCATTTCAGGTATTTTTGTCTTTTTTTCAGGGTTATTTGTAGTAATTTTTAATAAAAAATATATTTCGGACACGCGAGAAGAAAGACTTTGGCTGGATGGTAATATTGAAACATGGACCGGGCGAAGTTCAACCTGCACAGTTTTCAGTTTTGCATGAAGTCCGGTCGTTTTCTCATCAGTGGCCCTTCATCGAAAAATGCAACTTTGGCATCCTACGCAAAATGTACTCGCTTTTGAGTTTGTGATAAAATTGAGCATTCTTCATGTTCTTGTGCAGAGAATTTAGCCTCCAAACTGAATTTTTAACCCATCAGACAGAGAACATACAATGAATTAACAACTTTTCCAGGCAGGTAATTTTAGGAAAGTGTGCTTCGCAGACATAGCACAGTGGCAGTTAGAGCATTTGTCGTACGGAAGATCGAGGGTTCGATCCCGCTAGCGGAATAGCCAAATTTTTTCACTCATTTCGATGATAAATTGGTACTGGTATATGCCAAGAAAACAAATTGGCTGTTAGCTTGTTTCGAAACAGTTGTCAAAACAGGGGCAATCGACATACATTCCTCGATTTCTTTCTTGGTATTTTCTGTTCTGTAATCCTATAATTACACCATTTCCCTCCTCCCACTAATTCCTAATACTTCGACCTACTTCCCCCCGTCTTACTAACTTCTAACAATTCCACCAAATTCTAAATGTTTCTATACTGTCTACCTTCCTACTCATTAACTAGCCGTTTTTTTCCCCTCCATTAATCTTTCCTATATAAACCCCTCCTAAATCCAAACCCTTAGTCAGTTATTTTGTGAAATCGTCAGTCTACGGCGTCATTCGACCGTCCAACGCTGCAAGCGTCTCGCCTCCTCGTCTGCCATTGTTATTCTGTTGCACAGCTTGTGCGGTGCCCCGGCTCATCGTCTACGCGTCATCTTATTTGGCGTTTTCTCTGGAATGAAGTGTTTATTACAAGAATAAATTGCTGGTGTTTCTCCCCTGTCTATCGCTGTTGCAGTCAAGGACCACGTACGGACCTAACACTTTAACCTTCAACACGTCACTAACATGGGGTCCTCTCACACGAAATACCCAAACAGCCTTAGTATTATTTGTTTCTAAAACAAACAATATTTTGTTTTTTTTTTTTTGGGAATTTGTTATTTCTAACATTGCAAAAAGGTCCAATTACAGGGGTTCAAAGCTACTTCGCACGGAAATGTTACGGGCCTGCGCAAAGCTGCTCAAACGATCAATTTTTGATTCGAAAGCATGTGATGCAACTACGCTGGATCAGACAGTTCACTTCTTAATTGCAAATGAAGATCCAGACCTTGTAAGTATTATCTTCCAGAACTGTAGGATCGC